ATATAGGTCATCAAATAAAACCAAAATATTTTGATTCAGATTATTATTATTATTATCCGGTATATAGAACGACAGGTATGATAGAATTAAGTGAGACACTGAAAATTGTATTTCGTAGGTTTTATAACATCAAAAAATGGATTTAATATAAAATTAAGACTTTGATGAAAATATTGCTCTGTCTATATATAATTTGGTTACCATATGACATATGATATAAAATGATATATCAAAATTAAAAAGAAGTAATAACATTTGGAGCTGATTAAATTAATAAAGTTATTAATTATTACTATTATTTTTTAACTTAATTTTTCAGACAATTTTGGTAAATATCTGTATTGTTATATTGATTTTAAAGTTTATAATACTGGCACATATATCACTTGTGTGCAATGGAAGCATCTAACTTAAAATTAAATAAATAAAATAATCATAAAAAGTATAAAGTAGTAATAAAACAAGTATTGAAGTGTCAATTTTATAAAACTTCTTGAATCTGGTTAATATATTGTTAAAAAAAAAATGATATAACTTATTGGTTTCAAATCGAAAGTTTTCAACACGTGATGTAGAAATTGGATGAAATTTTAGGCCTTTATGCATCAAATGTGCTCGCCTTTTAAAAAAGTCACTATTAAAAAAAATATTCACAGTTCTATCTTTAACGTCGAGGTAAAAATAAAGTTGCGTTACTCTAGTGTGTGCATCAGGGTTCTAAAATATGACAATATTTAAAAAAAAGATTCAATTTGGAATATTTTGCCTATTGAAACTTCTGATCAGAATGACATGTAAATATATGTATTCACAACGTCATGCAATTATATATGACTAAACAATCATGACACAGGATTATTTTTTTTTCATTGAAATTCCAAAGCAAATATCATATCAAGGAAAAAAGCATAAAATTTTTTTCTGAAATAAAAAACTCTTTTTAACGGCTTGTTTTGACATTAAATATTATTTTCTTGACAGTAAATTTTATTTGCTTCGAATTTTTAAAGTGAAAAATAAAATGGGGGGAAATTTTAAAAGTAAAAAATGGGGGGAAATAAATAAAATTTAAGCAGCTTTATGTATAGTATTTTTCTCATCTTGTTGCAGTTTAATTTATCTAGATTTATATCGAAATTGTCATTTTTTAAACGGAAAATAAAAATATTCAATTGATAAAGAGAAATATTCACATTATTAAGAAATGATAAATTACAATAGTTTTTATTGGATTAATTTTTTATCCTCTATCAACAGCATTTATAACTTCAACATTAAAACTTTTAAAAATTAATTCCTTAAATTCAAAAAACTTAGTCATGAAAACTTTCTCAAAGTTAATTAGCAGAATTCGACCATCCTATAAAATTAATAATTAATAATATTAGAAATGTATAAAGAAAATTTTTAACTGTCAAAATAATTTTTACATTGCAGTTCTAAATTTAAAAAAAAAACACACACACACATTAAGAAATATTTTTTATGTACAGATATTTTGACTGATATTTGTTTTTATTCGGCATCGCCATTTTTTTCGCATGTTCTTAGCTGCAAAATTTTTGTAACTACAAATCATTGAAGACGACTATTTTACAAGTGATTCATAAGAAGGCGGCCATCAGTTTCATCCATCTAGATTTGGCTTTATTTCGCTATTCTGGCGCACACACTTAAAATTTTAATGCGGCAGTCGATCTTGAGCTGATAGGAGGGTAGTTAATCGAAGGCAGGTGGTGTGAGATAATTATGGGGTTAAATCCAGGTAGGAACTTCCGAGGATGGATAGAGCTGTACCCGCTGAAATTGCACAAAAATTGTGAATACAGTTTTTAAACAAGAAAAATATGATTGATAGTTTTATTTTATCCTTTGAAAAGTAACTCAGACTATGACTTACGACCACCTATGACTAAAGATGAGAATTTAGGGAATCCTTCCTTTAAAGGGGATTCAAAGTGCTCTACATTTATTTTGTAGTCAAAAAGTAGTAATAGTTCGAAATGCATAAAAATAAATAATGGTTTTAATTACTTTGCAAAATTTTCTAATTTAAAAGACTACAGTTTAGTTGCAGTTCAGTAAGGACCTTCAATTGAAAAAAAAAAGAAAATACCATGGGGTTTATGAAATAAAAACAGGATTTTATACATCAATCATTAAAATAGAAGTTTCGCTGTTATGGGATATCTGAAAAGGCATGCAACATTATGGCTGCATTGTGTCTGAATTTTTATTTTATTGTCACGAAAATGTTTGTACTAAAAACCTTTTTTTTCAATAAAGCAAAAATATTGCAGTTTCAAAAATTTCATCCTGAAAGGATCAAAAAAGGAATTTTTAAAGCTTTTTTGAAAAAGTATTGTAATTTAGGTCCATCGTGACTTTTTAGCTGACGTCACACTATAGCGATGGGATCATATTGCATTGCCCATTAAAATTTCATGACAAGGTGGAATTTAGCTGAGCATGCAAGACGTTGAGAAAATAAACCTTATAATTACCTAGATTTAAGATTATATTCACAATAAGACAAACTCTTTTTAAGGTTTTTATATAGAGGGTTGTTTTCCAACGTTTTGGATTAGAGTAATGTGAGTAGAACAGAGCAGATGGTCACAGATCTCGTTTTAACGTTAGAAGGTTTACACGTAAACCATATTGCAAACCACTTTAGGTTTACATTAAAAGGTTTTTGCCGTGTGAAAATAAACCTTATTTTGCTATTTGGGATCTTACTAAAGAGCGCAGACTGTATCTATTTTAAGCTAATTAGATTGTAATTCAATTTCGAGTTGAATAAAAGAAGTTTAATGATTTAAAAATATCCCACCACTAGCACTTTTTATTTCTATTGACAACTGCTTAGTGAAAGGATAAATATTAATTA